TCGTTGTAGAAATATGCAAACATCAATTTTCATAACGATTTCATTGCAAGGAAATAAACAAATAAATAAATAAGTCAAACCAAAATTTATATTATTTATAAAAACAGCGGAAAACATTTGTCCTTACAATGCAAAATCCATTGTAAACTATGTATTTCAAAAAGAAAATTTCTAACAACTCTATCATAACTATCTAAACTCAAAATCTAATCTTCAAGTTCATGCGATTGAGAACCATTTCTTTGTGATTAGACTCATCTTGCTCTTTCATCAAGCTTCCTTTCTTTTCACCGATCCTACAAAACATTCAAATGCAATCTTATCACATCATGTATTAAGAATCAACGAATAGGAACTTAATTTAGATAGTGGATTTTACCTGAAGCACAACCATACTCTTTGACTCTCCCATCTTTGGAATGTTCAGGCTCTTGGGGCAGATTTCTATCCAACGCCCTTTCTCTTGGCAGCAAACGCAGGTCGCTTCTCTTAGAATGTCCTCGGAAGCATGGTCGGTTGACTTTCCCAACAAATATGCTCCATTGCTTCGCCAAATCATTTCTGATTCAGCAGCAATGAGCATGTAAGTTAGGTCAATGAGGTTGTCGTCATGATCCATCATATAATACTTTCTTTTGAACTCATTATATGACTCAGGAAGTGACTACAAAACCCAATTTTCAGCCAACTCATTCGGGAATGACACACCCAACATTATCAACCTATCAATGTGTGATTTCATTCCTAGAACGTGGGCACACACGGGTTTACCATCTTCATGTTTCATTTCCAATAGGGATTTAGTGATATTGAACCTTTCAATCCTTTGATCTTGTGGGTTAGGGAGAATAATTGGAGGAGATGGAGGAAGTGAAGCATGATATCTTGTTCCTCGATCGAATCGTGGAATACCATCTTCATGTGGAATGCTTGTTCCACGGGATTTGGGAAGACCATAGTTGTCGAACTTTGACATCTACAAAACGGGAGAAAACGAATTCAAGTTAGTTGATCGATTGAGTCCTTAGTAAATCACCCAAATGAGATACTAAGGCTAGGACCCAACACAATACGCTACAACCTAGAAAAGGGATGTCATAATCTAGTTGTAGAATATTTGAAGGTAAGTGAATGACGATTCACTAATTTCCACCATGAGAAACGAAAAAGAAATTTAAGTTTTAAATCTATGAAAACTCCTAGATCCTTTGAGATTCGTTGAACATTTCAATGGCATGTTTAAATCTCGATATGCCCCTCTTGTTTGTGACTGGGATGCCGAGGATCACAAAGCGGGTGTGAATAACCATGAACACTTACATGGTGTCATCACATGTTACAGTCACCTATTCGATGTGCCGGTAAACCACACACGCTCCACCGAACTATAACAAACATTGAGTCACCCCTTTGCTACCTTTGCTTAGAACCATTTAGTGTGCCGGTAAACCACCCCACGCTCCACTAACGTCTTCGCAAGGGTACAAAGTGTAATTTCATGGAATTGCATCAATTCACTTTTGCCTAAGTAACTAAGATTGGGAATTTGAAAAACATTTAGTTACTTTGTATTCATTATACTTATAATGGAAGGTTTCGTCCTATCCTACCCGTTCGGCTAACGACCCTCCACTAGTCAAGAGTGCGGTGGGTAAGAGTGGATACCCATTCAATCGCCATTTTACAGGCAATTTCCTTAAACACCCCTTGTAGACCAGCTTCGTGAATGAGGCCTACTAACAGTAAGATTGACTTTTACTCATACATATATATAATGTTAGACTTTTAATGTTATATATAGTATAGGGTGTATTTTACACTTTTAAAATACTAGGTGGTCAAATTTAATGATTATACTTTTAATTCAATTAAATTGCAAACCAAAACTTTTATGGATTTATTAAACCTCTTTTAATTATACACCTTAATTAATTAATAAAACCATAAGGGTGTGAATTAAACTTTTCAAAAGATTACTAGGGTTTTAGAATTTAACATTCCTAATTAAACTTTTAAATCAAATTTTAAATTCCAAAACTTGATAGAAAGTTTTGAAACATTTCAAAAACATTAGGGTTTAGAATTTAAATATACATCAAAGTTAAACTTTTAATCAAAATTTAAATTCCAAAACTTGAGGGCAAGTTTTGAAACATTTCAAAACATTAGGGTTTCAACTATTTAAATTTCAAAACAACAAAACTTTTGGGTTCAAATTTAAACTATAAAACCTAAAGGGGAAAATATGAAACTTTTCATAACAACAAGGATCAAATAACAAATAATCTAAATTAACATTTAATCACATAATTATCCATATTTGATTTATTTAATGATTTCTTGCAAAACAATTTACCAATTTAATCAAAATAATTAATCAATTATCACATAAGGAAACAAATATTTTATTAATTGATAAATATCTTCAATTAGATCAAGAATATACTCATATATATATATATATATATATATATATATATATATATATATATATCATAAAATCAGATTTATATTGATCTAATATGATAAAGGCAAGTATTTCAAAGATAAACAACAAGAAATCCCGAAAATAGATCCATCTGACGCTCGAACTCGCCAAGTACCCCCATGGACTCTCCGAGTCCACAGTGGGACTCGCCAAGTCCATGATGCAAAACCACAAAAATCGAATTTTTTCAACATACAAGGCATCAATACAATGGAAACCAATTTAGGCTCTAATACCACTTATGGGTTTTGGTCATAAGAACATCCTATGTGCTCATACAAACCCTAATGCTTGGATCTAGGTTTCTCTATTGTACATGCAAGTTATCCAAGACTATAAACCCTAATGCTAGCATACAAGTAATCATATTAACATAAGAATGGGTTTAAGACATTACCTTGATTGTTATGTAGCAATAACAATCTCAATTCCTCCTTGTATTGACTTTAGAAAGCTTAGAGTCACAAATGTCACTCCTCTAATGGTTCACAAACACCATAAGCAAGAGGATGAAGAGGAGAGAGGATGGAGGCTGCCCAAAACGTGTTCTAACCCTAGAAGAAGTCTTCCCCACGTTTTTGGGTCATAAGGGGTCTTTATATAGTGAGGCTATTAGGGTTATCTAACAAGGAAACCCTAATTTGGATGCTTAAGCCCTAAGCAACCCATATACTCCTTTAGTTAAGGCCTTGGACAATTTCCTTATGGGCTTCCCCATAGAATTCGTCCACTCCTTAACTTAAGACAATCCATAGCCTAAATTGCAATTATCTTATAATTACAATTCCAGTCCCTTAAGTTTAATTAATCTCTTTTAGTCACAAAACTAATTACTAATTAATTCTTGACTAATATTAATTAAACAATATGATTTCTCCTTTAATATATTATTCTCATAATATATTAATAAATCATATTTAACCCTTTCTCTCCATAATTCATCCTATCAAGTTGCTTTGGTGAAGGCAACCCAGAAGGACCATGCACCATCGAGTCAAGTGCATAACAAAATAGTTATGGACTTAGACATTAATCCAACAATAAATGGTTGCTACAACATTCATGAGTGCTCATAAGTCCTAAGTATTGGATTCAACCCACGCTCACTTGCATCACTTCATGGAATTTATCTCGAGTAATCGTGAGATGGTAATATCATATAAATCTTCAAACCTAGAGACATGAGTTGTTGACTAGGAGTTGATTATCCATTGATTGTACAAAAACGCATTGGTAACTCGATGTTATAAAACGTGCTTTTGTGCATAATTCAACAAGTAGTTAGTACAAGAATATGAGTCGAAGTTTATATGTTCCTTCTAGAAATAGAAGCGATATCTGGGCCCCTGATGATTTGGTCTTGACTTATGTACCGGGCCCGGTCAAAACCTAATTGATGTGTTCAATTTAGTTCTACATCGAAACACATCAAAGATTGAGAAAAGAATGTTGGAGAATAAGTAAGACCATGTTCCATGTGTTTTCCCGACTGATATCTTGAGAGTAGAGGATTATATGATCACTTATCTTAAATGGCTTATCATTATCATCTCAGTTTCGAGAGACTTTGAAAGAGCTACGATTGCTAGTCGGACTGAAGTCATGACTTACAGTTGTTAAATAACTATTTTTTAATTGTTCTTCTGATCGTGGAAATGATTTTGTGTGACTGTACTCGCATCAAATGAATTTATAATGCTTTAAACTTTGCTAAAATACTCTTTAATTGAAATCTATATGTAAGAAACCATATTATGAAAATCGAACCAGATCGACCAATCTGTGTTTGACTATTGCTTTCTCTAATCAATGGTTGATTGTTCTCTTCACCACCAGAAAATAATAACAACCTATTTCATGCAATGATGTTCGGTAAAGAAATCTCTAAATCCATTCCGACTCATTTGAAAAAAAAAAAAAAAAAAGAAGAAGTTTAGATCATAGTATTTGCAATTTGAAAGAAAAAGCCTCACATGTACAGTAGGTGAGGAAATAAAAGAACACTTCAAATCTATATGTACGCAGCTATGTTTTAAAAATTGGATCGGACCGGCCGGTTTAACCAGGAACTGGTCTCGGTTCCGGTTCTTAGAGGCCAAAAAACCTTTCGTACTATGAATAATAATGTGATTATGATAACTGTTCTACTTTTTAAGACTTGTAACCAGTTGAGCCATCGAACCAGTAAAAAAGAATGATTCGGTCTCCGGTCCGATTTTCAAAATATTTGTATGAAATAATTGAAAGAGTCTAAAATAGATATAAATCTTTATATTAATAATTATTCGTCTTATGATATCTTGTTATGTTTTATAGCTTGTCATGTTAGGAAACTTTAACTACCTTACCAATTAAAAAAAAAAACAAAAAAGGTAAAGGTACGATATGTTCATTGTTCAATGATAAATAAGTTAAAGCTCATACTAAAATAAGTCGACGTGAAACGTAATATGTTCCCAAAATATCACTGTGGAGATTATAAAATCTCGAGAAGCCTATTCGGCGAACAAAGATGACAATGGCACTCCATTACAAAGACGACGAGCAGCACCGACAACAACCAGAGAGAATGAAAACGTTGAACTCTTCCGGAACATCTAAAGATCCTCAATCGGTACCTTCTGACATCATTATCGAAATTCTGTCGAGGCTTCCCGTTAAAACGCTCTTACGGATCAGGTCTGTGTGCAAGTTATGGTTCTCTATAATATCCGATCCTCATTTTGTCAAATCCCATCTCAGTTTGTCAACCAGCAACAATCGCTATGCACATCATCGCTTAATTTTCAGTACCGATTCAATAAGTGTTCATAGTTGTCCTCTTTATGATGTGCTTTATGATGGAAACGTGAACGCCTTAGAGATTGATTAATCAGAGCCACTTGACTGTGTGCGGATCTACGGTTGTTGCAATGGATTGTTCTTAATAGCTAACAGGGACCGTGATCTGTTTATTTGGAACCCTAGTACTAGAAGATCAAACAGGTTACCGTGTTCTGGTTCTGGAGGGCTACCTGTTAGTTACAATTTTGGGTACGATGAGTCTTCTGATGATTACAAAGTTGTTGGAATATATTATGTTTATAAGGGTGAAGCCGAGTATGATGCGACAGTGAAGATATATTCATTGAAAACCGGAAACGGGAAGAGAATTGGTGAATTTCATAATGGTTTTTCTATGGATTGTTGTGTCCAGTATTTGAATGGAGTTCTTCATTGGACGACTATTCAAAATTCTGAGTCATCTTATACGTGGACTATAGCTTCTCTTGATTTAGCAAAGGAGACGTATGGAGAAATTTTGCAACCTGCGTATGATGAAGGTTATATAGATTTGAATATGGGGGCTTTGAGAGAATGTTTGTGTGTGCTTTATGATCATCATGGTAGAAATAGTGCAGATGTATGGGTGATGAAGGTTTATGGGGTGAAAGATTCTTGGACTAAATTGGTTTCTATCCCATATCCTATTGGTCGTCCGGTCTATGGATTTTCAGTGCCTTTGTGTATTTCAAATGATGGGAAAGTTTTGCTGCAACATGGGTCGGAGTTGGTTGTATATGATTCCAAGAATTGTTCATCTTCAGAGATTCAAAATTTCAATGAATATACTGAACCATATACCTTTGTTGAGAGTCTTGTTTCTCCCGATTCCCGGACCCTAGAGATAGCAATCAGGCTTGATATCAAGGAAAAGTTAGCTTTTCTAAGACAGTGCTTGGTTAAATTTTTTCTGCCCAGCTGTTTTAAAAACCGGTTTGAATCGGTTGGTCGAACCGATTAGACTTGGAACCGGAGATGCGAGAGGTTCAACTAGTATAGATTTTATGCCTATTGTTGAACCGGAACAAGCCGATCCATTTTTACAAAACCAGGTTAAATTGAGTAAAAGCATATATAATTAAGCATTTTGCATAACAATCTTTGGTGATCATTTTCATATCTATATGCTGAATAAAACATTTGGTAGATGTTATGAAGTTTTTTTGGATACATTTGGATTTATCTAAAATTATATTTTGTTTCGATATTATATTTTATTTTCTTTTTGATGTATGTGACTAGATGTAAAATTCATATTTTATGTTTTTTTAATGTATTTTGAGTGATCTACACACTACAAACTAAATGACATTTAATGGTATACACTTTTAATGACATATTTTTTTTTTAACAACTATATCTTGTTTTTAGTGACATATTTTATATCTCACTATAAAATTAAGAGAGAATTTTATATATACCCTTATTAAGCATTAAAATATCATATTTGTCCACTCTAATTTTTAAATATTATATTTACCCTTTAAAAACTTTCAAAATATCATATTTATCGAAATATATGATTTTAATATTTTTTTTAAATACTTTAAAACCTTTTTTAATTAATTGACTATTATACCCTTGTTATAATTTTAAATTTAAAATATCACTAGGTGTGAGACTCATGTATTACATGGGTTTAATTAAAAAAAATATGAAATTTTAACAATTTGAAAAGTTTGAATTTATAAGAAAAATGAAAAAAAAAAAATTTAATTATTAAAATTATTGAAACTTTAATGTATTGAATACATTACATATATAAACGCTTTCTAATAAATACTTTACATATATATTATATTAAACATTATATGTGGAATTTTAATTTAATAAAATGAAAAATACAATAAAATGACAAGTGAAAAATAGAAAATTTAAAAATTTTAGAAAATACCAAGTGTCTAAATGAAAGAGAATAGGACATGTGGCAAAAAAAAAACCTTCATTTATTATAGAAGATTTGATGTATGTGACTAGATGTAAAATTCATATTTTGTGTTTTTTTAATGTATTTTGAGTGATCTACACACTACAAACTAAATAACATTTAATGGTATACACTTTTAATGACATATTTTTTTTTGAACCACTATATCTTGTTTTTAGTGACATATTTTATATCTCACTATAAAATTAAGAGAGAATTTTATATATACCCTTGTTAAGCATTAAAATATCATATTTGTCCACTCTAATTTTTAAATATTATATTTACCCTTTAAAAAATTTGCAAAATATCATATTTATCAAAATACATGATTTTAATATTTTTTTTAAATACTTTAAAACCTTTTTTAATTAATTGACTATTATACCCTTGTTATAATTTTAAATTTAAAATATCACTAGGTGTGAGACCTATGTATTACATGGGTTTAATTAAAAAAAATATGAAATTTTAACAATTTGAAAAGTTTGAATTTATAAGAAAAATGAAAAAAAAAATTAATTATTGAAACTTTAATTTATTGAATACATTACATATATAAACGCTTTCTAATAAATACTTTACATATATATTATATTAAACATTATATGTGGAATTTTAATTTAATAAAATGAAAAATACAATAAAATGATAAGTGAAAAATAGAAAATTTAAAAATTTTAGAAAATGTCAAGTGTCTAAATGAAAAAGAATAGGACATGTGGCAAAAAAAACCTTCATTTATTATAGAAGATTAATCTTCAAAAACTTAATATAAACAAAAAGTAAAATTTCAGATCATATCTTCCTGGGAATCGATTATGAACTTTGAACCATATCCAAAGTAATAAGTGCCGCAATAAATAATTGGTCGAATGACCTACGGATAAGAAATTTCAGTAAAACCGAATCGTAAAAGCTTCAAATACTTGAAGACCCATTTACCATATTTGAAGTAATAAGTGGGTTTTAGTTTAACCGTAAAAAGAAAAAAATATATGCCTAAAGTGAGTATCTCGCTTCCAAAAAATTGTAAAAAGAGAATGTATAATATAAATTAAGGAGTAAAGGGTAAAGAACGTGAAGCCTCCATTCCATACCAATCGAATTATGGTTCTTGAGAGTTGTGTCTGTAAGCAAGAATCCTTATCCAACTAATGGTCATTATGTTTATATTACAACTTTTGATTAAAAAAACCCTAAATAATTGAATTAATTTGATTTCTTATCTAGCGAAGGGAATTGGAGGAGGTGGTTAGTATTGATATATTAAACTTTGTTTATAATAGGGTAGAATAATCATTTTGATATAAATATGTAAAGCCCGAAAACTGATCTACCAATGATTAAAGACAAATAATAGAAGCAAAAGATGAAACAATAAGCAAATAACAAACGAATCAAGCTTGCATACGCTTTAAAGCAATAAAACGTCATCAACAACCTTTAAAGTCTGACACAATACCTATTTATAGACCTGACTTACAACCGTGAGGAGTTTACGGCCGTAAGGAGTTTACGGCCGTAAACACATAACAACCGTAAACACATACAAAATTGGTTTTCCTACACAATCATTACCACCAACTGTTATGCCTAGACCAAACCATTATTCAGGGTCTTTCAATCTCCCCCTTGGTTTGGACTAGCTCGAATCCATCCCTTTGTTGACAATCATCACGTCCATCTAGCCCATCGCTCCATTCCACATTCTCTTGCTTAGAATCTCTGCGACCATTGTTGTGTGCACCTTGGCTCCTTCCTCATAAATAACTTCAACAACTTTAATTTGAAAGTTGCTAAGATAATGAATATCCTATTTCCTGAATTGCAGCAAGTCTTTGCGATCGTACAAACGGATACACCCATTTTTAAGTTTGATAACCGCTCCAGATGTATTTTCATCATAGACCCAACATTCCAAAGAACTGAGAGATCCATCCTGATAGCCCTGAGGAATTGGAAATTGTTTGACTTGCTTCGTAGGAGGCCACATAACCACCTGTAATGGCTTGTCGGTAGATTCTTCAAAGACATCTGGATGTTCCAAGATAACTGACTCTGCCGTCGGTATTGATGGAAAACCTTTCTTAACTTGATCATCCAAAAAGTGCTTAAACTGTGCAACCTTAGGATCATTCAAGAGATTGATAAACGGAGCTTGTGACAACTCCATTAGATCAATTCTTGTTAGAGACTTAAAAGCATGGATATCCTTATACAATTCTGAATTACCACTCTTACGAATGATAATCCACAGTCTGAGAGGGTCATGAAATTCCCATGCAGCCACTTCGGATCTATCTCCAAATGTGTCTTGGAATCTAAGAATTTCAAGATCAGTGATAGTTATCAAAGGTTCACCCCGAGATGCACTTCGAGTAGTATTCTGCTTATACAGTAATTGTCCTCTCTTAACATCGTCTTCTTGACCTCGTCAGATAATTTCTTGAATATATGGAGCCACTGGAGGATCAACTATAACACGTTCAGCGGTACCAGAAGACTGACCGACCGGCAAGTTTACTGGAAAAGCCTGCACGTGAAGATTAATTCTCTGTTCTTCAACAGTCGTCTGATATCTGTCACCAAGATCAACCTCCAGTTTTTCTTCAACTCAAAATAGCTCGAAGTCAGCGGATTAAAATGATCTTGTAAATCAGAGATCTGCTTGCTTTTCAGCTTCTTATCCTTTTTGAGTTCAGCTAGTTGTCCGCCAAGACTAGACTTATCTGATTGTAGCTTGGATACTTGGATACGAAGATCGACATTCTCGGCACGAAGCTCTGCCACTTGAATATCGAGTTCAATGTTTTTCTGGCTAAGAACCGAAATTTCTTTTTGCAGACTAGCAAGAGTAATATTATCACTCCTAGCACCCCCTTCATTAATAGAGACACCCTTTCCTCGAAGACCAGGCGACAAAAGTTGTTCTTCTGCCATGTGTAGTGCCAGCCTTTCTGAAGCAGCATTCCGATTAAATCTAGGAACCGAGAAACCGGGTGGTGCTGAGGGACCAGCAACATCAAATGTTGAACTAGGACCAGTAGGAAACATCTTTGTAGTGGTGAGTCTTGTAGTAGTAACAGTGATAGGTGGGGTAGGAAGACCACTAACCAAACATGCGATCAGTTCAGATTGTCTTGCATCAAGTCTTCTTCTTTTAGATTGTGGTTGGTCAGCTTCTAGAGAAAACACACTCACAAACGGTTCGGAAGTAGGAGAAACGGACACAGGAGGGGAATATCCTATAACCATCTCCATAGGAATAGAAGTCGACACCATTTGCTTTGAAGTAGGAGTTCGCATTTCAAACGTCTCGCTCGATTTCCTTGTCTCAGTTGTTTGTAAAACAACATCATCGACATTATGGAAAATTGTGTCAAGATTTTCATGAGACACGACATTGGCACTGCTTGCCAAAGAAGCGGCTATATTATCACGATCAAAACCAGTTAGGTCAAGATCATCAAAAGAATCATTTTGCTCTTCACTGACATTCATCTCTCCACCAGCTTGATCTTCACTCAACTCTTGTTCACGTTCTGAGACAGTTTGAGCTCTAGTAGTTGGTGAGTCTTGTTTTTCGGTTTCTTCATCTTCAGATACATCTATAACAATGTTGGATGGAGTAGACCTTACAGCAGATGTTTGCTCCGAGGATGTTTGCTCGGACGACTCATATGACTCTGGTGGTTCATCCAGTTTTGTAAACTTCCCAAATTTTTCAAGAGGATATAGTCCTTGAAATATGAATTTGCCTTTCCGATTCTGTTTGATGAGTCCCACCGTGTGGGGACCCAAGGACTTCATATCCAATGTTTCTCCCGTCTTCTTCACATCTGGAAACTGAATGTTAATGAACATTTGCACGAAACAGGGATACAACAGAAAAGTATCCCGAGTAGAAGCTCTGATGTTGATAACAAATTCCTCAAGGATGAGCTTTGAGAAATTAAAGTGAAACCCAGAAGCAAGAGATACCAGAGCACTAGTTGTGTGCTGAGAAATCTCATCTGCCCCAGACCTCCTTC